AGACTGAGGCAGAGAGTTTAAGTAATCTGCTTAAGGTCACATAGTACAATCATCAGGCAAACATATGAACCTAGCCAGTCTGGCTCTAGAATCCATATTTTTAACTACAATAATGGCACAACCGGATAAAGAAAATTGTATCTCAGAAAAATATTCACTGAAGCATTTTTTTAAAGGTAAAAATATATAAATTAAATGTTTATCAATAGGTAAATGTTTAAAATATGTAGATTATATGTTCTGGCTTAGGAGAGATGTTCATGATATATTAAGTTGAAAAAATATAGAATTCAATATGACATAATCTTACTTTTGCGTTAAAAATTCAATATATATATATATATATATATATGTTTTCTTAAGTCTGAGAGTAAACACAAGAAACTGTTACCACTCAGGAGTACAGTCAGTATGAAGAATTATTTTACATTTTTAGCCATAAATATTCATTATAAATGTCAGGAAATACATGAAAATAGACAAAATAATAGTAAAGGAGATTACCTATAATCACAACGATCATTTTGATATACTTCAATATTCTTCTTATACGCAGTTTTTTCCTATATAATTAGTATCAAACTGTTCTGTAACTTTTAACATAATATTAGTTATATTAAGTACATTTAAGATCTTAAATCTACTGATAATACCTACTGTTATTTTCTAATTCAATTATAAATTAAAATAAGATGGTATGTTGGGGAAAAAAACTAAATGTCTTTCAGTTTGATTACATCAATATTATTTCTGGACTATTATTGTTCAAATGTCCTCTGACTAAATGACCATACTAATTATTATAGTAACGATTTCTGTTTGACTCAAGATAACGGATTGTCAAAAAGGAGGCAATATGGCAAACAGAAGTTGCTTGGACCTGAAGTCAGATGGATGAAGTTCAGCTCACTTTGATCCCAGCAAATTATTCAGTTATTTTCTGGTTTATCTTCCTCACTAAAAAAAGGTGGGGACGGGAGCACAATTTTCATTCAAGGTTCCCATGTGGAATAAATAACTACGTGAAGGACCAGTAAAATGGTTAGGGCATAGGTCCTCTCTCTTTCTGTGTGTACTTAATCTGAATAAGCTTGCCTATAAAATAACCTAAATACAGAAACAAAATATTTTTTAAAAAGTAAATTTTAATTCCAAGAAACTCAGTTCTTTTGGTCATATGGAGAGTATAAAGCTCAGAAATTGTTGGGAATTCATGGGGAAAATAAACATGATTATATTTTTGTACACACATACAAATCAATAGTTACATAATGCCTTTAAGAATCAAGTTAGCACTAAATACTGAGGAATCAGAATCCTTTTAGGAGGAAAAAATATACTGTGTTATAATTTCTTTAAGAAATATCTAATGGATGCCTACTTTGGGCAAGCAGTGTTTCAAACATTGAAAACAGTCTGTTGAATAGGCAGATATGGCTCTAGCCTTCATGGAGTTGACAATCTAATAGGAGAGAAAAGCAATAAACAAGTAAATGAATACATAAGCAAAATAATTATAGCATGTGATAGGTCCTACGAAAAATAAACAGGGGGTATAAAGTTTCTGATAAGATAGGAAGAATAGGTTTTGCGATCTATTACACAATGGTGACTATAGTTAATGTATTGCATATTTCAAAATAAGAGTACATTTCAAGTGTCTCCTCATAAAAAATGATAGGTGACTTAGGGATGGATATGTTAATTAGCTTGATTTAATCAATCCACATTGTATATATATATCAAAACACAACACTGTACTTCCAAATGTATACAACTATTTTTTAATCAAAAATAATATTAATAAAAGAATTTAAAAATTAAAGTAAAAACGGTATATAATAAAGAATAATGGGAAGAGAGGAGACCTATTTTAGAAAGAATGGCAAAAATAACTGGGAGATTTCAGATCTAGAAAAGAGCAACTGCAAATGCCTTGGTGTAGTCTAGGTATTACAACAGAGCAAGGTGTGCTGGGGATAAAAGGTCTGAGATAACGCTGGAAAGGCAGGTAGTGGTCAGATCACATAAGGGCTTACGTCTGAGCAAACAGTTTGGATTTCATTTTAAGTACAATGAAAAATCATTAAATGATTTTAATGATATGTATAACTTTCAAAATGTTATTCTGAATCCTGTGTACAATATGGATTATAAAGAGACAAGAATAGAAGGAAGAAGACCAGTAAGGAAACTATTATAGCAGGTCAGATAAGAAGTGAAGGTGGTAAGGGCCTAGAGAGGTAGGAATACAGGTTGGGAAGAACAAACGAATTTAAGTTGTATTTTTGGAGGTCAAATTGACAGGATTTCCCAATTGTTGGGATGTGATGATTAAGAAAATGTGAGGAATCAAGAATGCTTCCCACATTTATGCTTGAGCAAATCAGTGGATAGAGGTAATGCTTACCGAGACCAGGAAGACATAAAGGAAAACCAGAAGAGAATGCTGTCCCCAAAGCCAAGGGAAAAGTGTTTCATTAAGAAGGAATTGGTCAATTGCATTAGGCGCCACTGAGGAATTCAAGTAAGATGAAGGCAGAAAAGTACCCACTAGATTTGGCAACATGTCATTCCATGATGGGGGGCAGTTCCATCAGAGTAGAAGGGAAGAAAGGCATACTGCAGTGGGCTAAAGAGTGAATGGAAGGTTAGGAAGTGGTTCTCTTCATAAGAAGATAAGAGATATGGGGCTACAACTAAAGGGGAAGAGAGACAGGGCTGGGGAAGGGTTGAGTCAATGGCTGCTTTTTGTTTTTTATTTTGTTTTTAAGATGGGATCTACCACAGCACATCTGTTGATAAGATCAACCCAGAAGAGAAGGTGAGACTGATGAACAGCAGGATTGGAGTCTTGTAGCAGTAAGAGTGAATGGGATTCATATCACACATCAGCGCCTTATTTATCTGTAAGTAAACACACTCATATGATAGACAAAAGACCCATAGCTCCAGATTTCCTAGATGTCATTATTTATTTATTTTTAAAGTTAGACAGGGTCTCACTTTGTCACCAGGCTGGAGTGCCCTGGCATGATCATAGCTCATGGTAGCCTTGAACTCTTGGGCTCAAGCAGTCCTCTTGCCTTAGCCTCCAGATTAGCTAGAACAATGAGTGTGGGCCACCATTCCCAGCAAATTTTTATAGTTTTTTGTAGAAATAGATTCTTGCTATATTGCCCAGGCTGGTCTCGGAACTCTCGTGCCTTGGCCTCCCAAAGCACTGGAACCACAGGCATGAGTCATGGTGGCTAGCCTAGATGTATTTTCATACTTCATGGCTATGGAGATGACAGGATATTTAAAATACTGTAAAGAAGAACACACAAACTGAGTTTTAAAGAAGAAAAAATACAAAACAACATAAAATCTAAAATTACATGTAATTTTTTTACTGAGAAAAAAAAACTGACCTCTCGTTTGTCTAATGCAGCATATTCAGCTTCTATTTCTTCAGCCTCAGGATCCCGTGAGAATACCATTTGAGATTCCAAATTGAGGGCCAAATCTTTGTGGTGTTGCTTTTCAGCACAATCACAAGGAGTATCTTTATTTTCATTCTCGGCAAACAAGTCTCCTCCGTGTTTTACTAAAAGCTAAAAAAGTTTTTTTCAAAAACTTGCAACCACAGGTTCAAATAAGTTATTTCATGCTGCCTATTTTTAAAACATTAAAAACATAAACTTACCACAACAAAAATGTAACAGTATGTACAGTATGTATTTGAAATGACAAAAAAGGATTTAGATACCAGTGGCTTCTTATTTTAAGATTAGTAATTCCTGTTTTTCTGTAATGAGTTCCTCTAGTTAAAAGTAATAAAAATAATAACCCCAAAACCAATTTTTTATACTTCTGAAATTCTTAAGCATTTTGTTTGGTCCAAAAAATAACATTTTGTTTAAAGATAGAAAAAGTTTACAGTTACTCAGGACTTTAAAAATTTAAATTTCTTATAATTTCTATAAATCTTTCTTAAACAAGGACACTGCTGATACTGCTATTTTAACTACTGTCTGGATGTCCTGACATGGCAGACAAAAGTTTCATTCATTATCCAGTGAAACACTGAAATGAAACTAGGATGAGCAAGTCATTGAGGTAAAGCGGTTTTCAATATTCTTCAAAATAAGTAATGGGAATAGCTACTGATAGCCACATTGGGAAGATAAGTCTATCCATCTCTCTTTGACCCAAAGAAATCCCACCTTTACAAATACAATACATGGAATAGCGACTTGACTTGTTTAATAATGAGGTTTCTGCTAGCTTTGCAGGAGTTAAATATGTTGTTACTGAGGGATGTAGGTTCAAATTTCCCCATTACATCTGCAAAGACATTAAGAAAGACATGAATGCCAGGAGAGCCATATCTAGGACAACTCTAATGGACAGCCTGACAGTCGCAGGATTCTTTTATAGGATTCACTCATGCTCATGATAATATAGTAATGGTCACTATTTACCATTTTCTAAACACTTTAAAGCACACACTCTTATTTAATATTAACAACCCATATGACAGGGGTATTATTATATCTCAGAACAGTTAAGTAGCTTTTCTAAAGTTACCCAGCTAGTAGGCAGTAGAACTGGGCTTCAGACCCAAGTTGGACCAGGTTTTTAACCATGACTGGACACTACACTGACTCGTAAGAAGGTAAGCTAATCACACATATCGCAGAAGTTAAATTCATCCTGGGTCCATCTTGAAGTTCTTCCCAGGCTCTTATTACCTAAATGTCAATACTTTTTAGAGGTTTTCATTTTACATGAATTAATCAAAATGGTAGCTTCTTTTTATTTTCTTCCAAATAATTTTATCTTCTTTCCTTCCTCAACACACAACCTTCAGTTAAAGTTTTTTAGAACTGGAATCCTCAAGGTTCTCCTACAGTCCTAAGAGCCCTCACAAAACAAGGGGCTTATATCAATGCCAGATCTGGAAGGCATGGGCTAACTTCACAAGCCCACAGGATTTGACTTTAGCTTCTTGCTCTAGCCAAGGGTATGCCTTAGAGCTAAGGTGGGTTTTTAAGTAGTAAAAACAAGCAAACCAACCAAGAATATGAAATATAGACCCATGGCTACAAGGCTTAAAATATTTACTCTCTAGTACTTTACAGAAAAACATCTGTTAAGAATGGCTCTAAATTGTCATTCTGGCAGCCACCTTCTAGACTCTGAGGGCAAGGTCTTATCAGCTGCTATTTACCACCTAGAACCTTTTTAGTGCAAGTGTGGTCTGGGGACCAGTAATATCATCTGGGAATTTGTTAGAAATGAAGAATCTCAGCTTGATCCCCCAACTCCCTCCAAGCCCAGGCCTCTGAATCAAAATGTCATTCTCATCTCCAAGAGATTCGTTTTGTACATAAATGTTTGAGAAGCAATGATCCTAGAGTACAACTAATGTGGCTGTGGAATTGATAAATTTATATTACTTAATTTATTCAATACTGGGAACTTGTAGTAAGTCTAGAGACTTAACATATCCATAGCAGATCTACTATATTTTTATCCTCTCTGCTTCATAGGTTATCAACACATAAATACAAAATAGACTATCTGTTCTTGACTGCTGCCCAACTAAAGAGTTGACTTCATTCTTGAGTTCTCTATTTAGTTCCCTATTTAGAGTCATAGAAAATTATTTCTAAACGCATGCTGAGATAACTTTCAAAGTCAGGATTTGGTTTACTTTGCAACAGATATTACCACAGAAAAAATATTAAATATTAGAAAATAAGACAAATCATCTTTAATTTAATGCCCCAGTCTTCCTTAATAAAAGCAAAGACAATAAAATTTAAGAAACTGTACCCTAACAGAATCTTGGTAAGGGGAGCCTTATTAAAAGGATATGCCAGAATGTGGACTTCATTCATTGGGGGGTTTAAAAAATGTGTGTTGGAGAGGGGATGTGTGAGAAGTCACTGCTGACAATTGTTAGAACTTGGGTGAGCATGATTGGTAAACTATCTTTGCAAGGTGTTCCCTAATGAGTTTGACTGGAGTTGGGGCGAGGAACCATAAAGACATATATCTCATTGTGCAATCTGGCACCTATAGAAAAACTCATAATCAATTATGAAATGAGAGGGTCCATGTTTGTAGTATTTGACTCGGCTATGAAAATCCGCCTGTATGTTACCTTTGGCACAGAAGATAGCTGGCAGCAACAATGCCTCACATATTGAGGAGAACATGTTAAAAAGTACTTCAGCTTGCTGACCTTTAGGGCATAAAGTCAGGAACACTAGTAAGTAAAAGATGTCTTAAGTAGAGATAACTGCTAAAATGTTATGCAATAAAGTTAAGGTGTTTTACTTTGACAAAATAGAAAGTTATGTTTGGTTCTGAAGACTACTTTTTAAATGCTTCAACCAAAGCATCCCAACTAAGTATCGGCTTTCCCAGTTTCAAATTAGCTAAGAAGGATTTAATAGGAGGACTGAATATTTCACTTAAATATAGTTTTAAGCCTATCTTGGTGGCACATAAAATGTTGTCCTAAAAGAAACCAAATTATCATGATCTCAACACATCTGTTCTTCTATTCTGCCTTTCTTTCCATTCACAATTCCAGAGGAAGAGGGGTAGGGGTTTTAAGAGAGGTAACCCCTACTATTCAAGACAAATCCTACCCCATCCCTTTGATCACCCTCTAAATGGCTGGTGACTCTCAATTGACTTATTTAGGACTATAACTTAATCCTGCTATCCTTCTGGTTACTTTCCTAAAAAACTCTCTTTCTTGGCTTTCACATTTCTCAAATTAGTGATTGATACCAAATGTCTCTCAATTTCCTCAGCAAACGACTCAATTATGCCCAGCAATCTGACTTCTACCTGGAGTATTTTACTGAAACAATATTGCAGAAAGTCATTAATACCTCTTAACTCTGAAATCCATCAGTCTTTCTCAGTCCCCCAATTCTTTTACCTTTCTGCAGCACATCACATGATGGATCAGCTCCTCTCCTTGAAATTCTTCTCTTGCATCTTTGACATTGTATCATCTTGGTTCTTTTATTTCACTATTTTCTGTGTTCCCCTCATAGGCACCACTCGTTGCTCTCATCTCTTTAAACATAGGCATTCTTCAAATTGATGCTGTGACTTTATCTATGACCTCTTTATCTATGATCTCTTTATCTATTATTTTATCTATGACCTAAAGTATTTTCCTTGTATCTCTCATCTCTACATTATCTTGCTTTTAGAATGTCAACTCTATGTAGATAACGCTCAATTCTAAATTCTAAATGAGAGTCTATATTCTTTACTCCCTAACGCTTTGGTCATAATTGTCAGCAGCCTGCCTATAATTTCATGTGGATCAGCTAAGATGTAACATCCAGCCTTCTAAATGAAAACTCAATATACTCTCCCTTCCTTTCAACCAATTCCTCCATTTCATCTCACTTTTCCAAATGTCTGTTAATTGTTAGCAGGCTTCAAAGTCACTCAGGTTCAAAACTATGCCCATCTTATTTAAAAATAAAGTTAATTAATTTAACTCTAATTATAGAGGTGATAGCAGGTATAGAGAATGTGGACAAATCAAAGACAGAAAATTATATTGTCTAAAGAGGGCTCACTAATGTCAGTATTTAACATTATAGGGCCCCCATCCTTTTTTTTTAAACCTTTCTTTCCCTTGCTTTCTTGTAACAACTGACCTAGTCACCAAAGGCTAACAGTTCTTCACAATGTCCCCTGGCATCTGCCTCATTCTTTCCATCTCTAATACTACCACACAAACCCAGATGCTTTGTCAGTTCACACCAAAATTAGTGCATTTATCTTCTAACTCCTATCACTCTTTCTAATACATTGCTTCTCAGCTTACCAACGTCTGGGTTCCCCTCTCACAAACCTAAATTTTATTGGTCTGAGGTTTCTGTGTAGCCATGCTTAGAACTACTGTTCTAGCACAAAGGTTTTCAAACGGTGTAAGAATAATTTGGGTAGCCTGATAGTCCTATTAGGTGAATTTGGAGAGGGCACTGTAAGAAGTATGTATACTTTTCACAGGTGATTCCAATATAGGCCCCCCACAAATTATGCCCTAAGCCAGGGTTCTCAAGCTTTAAATAAGAATCCTTTTGGGATTTTGTTAAACTAGATTCAAATTTGGTTATTCTTGGATGGAGCTGAGATTCTGCATTTCCAACAAGTTCCCAGGTGATTGATGTCAGTGACAGTCTGAGGACAATTCTTTTAAGTAGCAAGGCTTTAAGAAATGCTGCTTTAGAAGCACCCCATTCAAATGTATTCTACATTACAAACATCATGCTAATCTCATTACATTTGCTTTCATAATATCTATCACTTCTCTAATAAAAAATTCTTTTTCTTTTTTTTTTTTGGAGACAGGATCTTGCTTTGTCACCCAGGCTCACCATGGCTCACTGCAGCCTCGACCTCCTGGACTCAAGTAATCTTTCCACCTCAGCCTCCCAAGTAGCTGGGACTACAGGCGTGGACCACCATGCCTGGCTAATTTTTTGATTTTTAGTAGAAATGAGGTCTCACTATGTTGCCCAGGCTGATCTTAAATTTTTGGGATCTAGCAATGCTTCCACCTCGG